CGAATGAGTATCAGAGACTATTGGCAACATGGGAGGAACAGGTGGCAGAGGGTGCAGATTATATGGCAAGGAAGAGATAGAAGCTGGAAGGGATGTCGTGTCGGTTGGAATGATGGAAGAAAGGTCTGGCGAGGGAATGGTAAGGGAAGAACTTGACTATAGAGGAATGTGGATTGTAGTAGGGGCGTTAGTGACATGGAACAAGTGGCCGTCTGTGTGGGTAGGGTAGTGGGAAAGCTCGTAGACGAATCATGTACGACTGGTTGCTGGGCAAAGACCGAAGGGTTAGAAGGAAAAGGCTAGATTGGTGATGGTGTTGGAGGAATGAGGATGTGCGGGAGAGAAAAAGTTATGTGTTGAGGAGGGCCGGAGGTCTGAGGGGAAGATGGTTCAGCAAAAGGGAAGCAGGTTTCGTTAAAAATTACTTGATGAGTCACAAAGAATTTGTCAGAACATGGGTCAAATTTTGTCCGAAAAGGGTATTCGAGGAAAACACATCGACTTGTGCGAGGGTGTAACTTATTTTTGGAATAGGGACGAAGTAAGAGATAACATGCACAACCAAATACTTTAAGGTGCTTATAATCAGGTGGGGAAAAGAAGAGACGTTCAGAGGGGGGAACATTATCAAGGGAAGACGATTAATGAGAAATACAGCAGTAGCAAAGGCATGATACCAAAAATGTAAGGGCACAAAAGAACAAGAAAGAAGTGACAATGCAATTTCTATAATGTGTTTATGTTTGCGTTCACCAATACCATTTTATTCTGAGGTATAAGAGCAAGAAACATGATGAGAAATGCCATGTGAATCAAGTAAGGAACGCATAGAAGAATTGATAAATTCACCACCACCGTCACTTTGAAATATTTTCATGTGAGAGTTCAACAAGTTTTCAACATAAGGTTTAAATTTAGAAAAGACAGAGAAAACGTCATATTTTTTAACCAAGGGGAAAATCCAAGTATAGCGAGAATATTCATCAATAAATGACACATAGTATTTAAATCCATTAAATGATACTTCGAAGGAAGGACTCCAGACATCACTGTGAACTATATTAAGAGAGGTCATAGATATACTATGGGATCTATGAAAAGGTAGTTTTGACATTTTTCCAGACAAACAATGCTGACAAACACAATTAAAAGATTGAGAAAATGAGATGCACGAATTCTTTCGTAACAACTCAAGAGCTGATTTGTTTGGGTGGCCTAACCATCATGCCATAGATGAGAGTCAAGGCAGTGAAGATGTACCTTGTATCCTGAGGAAGATGAAGAGGGAGTTGACGATGTAATGGACTGGATGGGGTAGAAACCATTTTGACTAGGCCCTTGAAATAAGATTGTTCCCAAGCGTTGGTCCTAGATGTAGAAAAAGTCAGAGCCGAAGAAAAAAGTGCAATTATTCTCGCGACAGAATTGATTAATTGAAAGTAAGTTGGATGTAGTGTTGGGAACAAGGAAAAGATTATTAAGAGTAAAGGAGGAAGATGGGGTAGTAAGAGTGCCACAACCTGTGTGGGTGATGGGGCAAGGTTTGACCGCTACTAACAGTCACCTGTTCCTCACCATTATACTCATTCGAGATGGACAAGTTCGCAAAATCAGAGGTCAGATGAGCATTACAATCAGTGTCAGATAGCCAATAGGAACCTTCTCTAGCATTCGTAGAGGTGGAGCCAACAAAGCAGCAAGTTGGGTCGATGGGTGGCGACCTTGGAAGGCATGGTTCATTCGATTGTGACAGTTCAATGCATTATGCCCAAACTTTCCACAAATTTAACAGTGTACTTTGTTAGACTATGGAACCTCAACTGGAGAAGGTGTTGAGGGACCCTAAGAAGCTGGTGTTGTTGCCGAGAGAGAGGGCCGAGATCGAGGTGGAAATGGTGAAAAACCACCTCCACCTCCAGGGGTGTTCCGACCACGAGTAGGATGGAGATCCCGTCCACGAGAATGCTGAGACAGTGGGCTATAATTTGCCATCATGGCAGTGATTGAGAAATGATTGCACCTTTGGCTTGAAAAGTGATTGCAGCTTCCTCTACTTTAAGAAGAACATGAAGTTCTTCTATATGGACAAAACTGGACCGTACCCAAAGCGAGGTGCGGAAAGCACGAGGCAAGCCATTCAAAGTGTAGATTAGGATGTCCTCCTCGTCAATGTGGACATAAATAGTAGATAACTTGTCATAAATAGTTTTGATTCGCTGAACATAATCATCGATGGACTCATTCCCTTTTTTTGAATTTTTTGCAATTCGGATTTCAAATAAATTATATTAGTACGAGAAAAATATCAGTAACGATGTTCAAGAGATTCCCAAACTTTTGGAGCTAGTGCAACCAACAACAAGAGATAGGGCGGACTGAGACAACTAGCATTGATTAGAGTTCGTAATGCATGGTCTGGGAGTGCCACAAGGCATATTTGGAATTGAGCTTTATTGTCTCGCCTTCTTGATTATGCTGATCGGGGCAAACACATGAGTCGTCAATGTAATCAAAGAGATTGTGTGCCTTCAAGATGGAGTCAAGTTGATAATGCCAAAGAGTGTAGTTGCTGGAGTCAAGTCGGACAGAAACAAGAGTACAAATATTTGAGAGTAGGAAGAGCGGTGAAGGAGAGAATTGATGATCGATGGTGAAAGATGTGGGAAATTGGTCGATTTCGGTGTGAGATTTGGAAGGAGAATTTTTTTATCGGTCATTGTGTAGTTCCCTGTGTGGGAAAAGGAATAGAGTAATCAAGAACTGGAGGAGAAAGAAAAAAAAATAAATAAAATAGAAGGTTGGGTCAGGCAAAAAGTGTATGTGGGAAAGAAAAAAAAAATTTGATGTGGGAATTGAGCTAAAAGATGATGTGGGAATGAGGCCAAAAATGGAAAGGGGTGAAATTTGGGTGAAGGTAGTGAAATTTTGGGTAGGGCAATCAAAACTTGAATTTGGAAGGCGAAAAAAATTAATAAAATTGGGTAAGTTTGGAATAGGGTCGACGCGGCGATTGTGTTACTAAGATCGAAGGAAAAAGACGTATGTCGAAAGCTCTGCTACCATGAGAAGGTTTAAGAAATTGAATAAACGTCAGTTCATTCATCTTACTGGGAATACAACTGTTTTTCACTGTTGAGAAGTTGTTGAGATACACTTAACATCATCAATACAAGTTTTTCAGAAGTGATCAAAAGTCCAAAGTGAAAAATATTTGTGTTCAGAAATCATAATTTCTCAATTCCCTCCACCGATCTAATACCTTAAACTTCACTCTTTTTTCAATTTGAATCTAAATTGGAAAAAATCTCAACTTTATAATTTAAAAAACAAGAAAAAAGAAAAAACATGTTATAATAGATCTAACTCAGACATTTTATTCTTATTTCTTAGGTAAATATATATGTGCCCTTTGTTCTTTATGATATCCTTGTTATACCTTTTTTCTTATGATTTAGTTATCTTGTTTCCTTCTCTTGCTTTGCTGCATTATTCGGTACAATTTTCCTCGACGAATTTACTGTAGAGACAGGATTTGTAACCTGAGATCAGACAATGACGACTCTCTCCCTCCTCAATAACAGAAATGTAGAAATTGAATACATGTCCCTGAAAAAACACCAAAAGGAACTTGGAGCCAGAAAAGTTTCATAATGATTTTCATGAACCATCCAAGTAATTTGATACTTGTGCCATCATCAAGACAAAACGAGAAAAATTTTAGAGGAAAAAAATAAAGTTGAGACGAAAAAATATGTTAAAGAAAAAAAGAAATTATAAAAAAAGATAAAATTTATATTGGAAACAAATTTAGAGATAAAAACAAGATTCAAAATATAATTTTTAGAGAAAATAAATAAATAATAAAATATAATTTTTAGAGAAAAATGGAATATTGAGAAATAAAAATTATAAAAGACAAAATAGAAAAATTTGGAGAACAAATAATAATAAATATTCCAAATATGAAAATTTTAGAGAAAGAAAAATAAAGTTTGTAGAGTGAAATTTAAAAATAAAATAATCTTAGAGTGAGAAATAAATTTTTTAGAGATAAATATGAGAAAGAAAAAAGTTAAATATTAGAAGAAAAATCAGATTTTGAAAGAAAACATGTTTTTGAAAACTTTTTCTTTTGAAATTTACCTAAAATTTCAAAATGGTTTTTGAAAAACAAAAAATAGATAATTGAATTGGTTAGCAAATGATACTATTTTTTAAAAATTAAAAACAAAAAACAAAAATAAAAAAGAAAATGGTTATCAACAGTCCTTAAGTTTTTAATTATTCTTTTTAAGTTGAGAATTTTTTTCATACTAGATTTAAATTGAAAAGAATGTGAAGTTTAAGATGAAGAGATTGGGGAGGAAATCAAAATTATGGACAAATTTTATTTATTTATTTTTTTAAATAGGAATATTTTGGTAATTTAAAAGGTAAAAAGTGAAAAGAGATAAAAAAAATTAGAATGAATGAACACATTTTTCAGAAAATGGGTCAGAAGTCCAAAATGAAATTAAAAAAATGGATAAAAAATAGCTAAACCATGGGTAGACTCAAATCATAATTAAATACTCAACAAGAAACGAAATAGTAGTATAATTCCAATCATAATCCAATCAAATCAAATAACAGTTATGTACTAGAAAAAATAATAATAAAATAAAACGGGGATATTAATATGCGAAACCAAGGAAAATTCCAAACGCGGAAACCAGCAGTTCTTTGCGCAACGGAAACAGCGAAAAGTAGGAGGCCCGTCGTTTCCTGTTTGTTTCTTCTTCGCTTCTCCCATTTCGCCGTCCTTCGGCTCCCATAAAGCCCTTACCCATTTATCCATTTCTTCAATCTTAATTTTCATTTGCGTTTTCTACTCGTAATCTCTCCCAAACAGCATCACAATACTCTACAGGCGAGTGTAAGAACTTTCAACCCTTGCCCTTTACATTTCCCTGCATTTTTTCCCTTCAATTTTCCCCCATCCCTTGCTTTTTTCTCCAATTTCTCATGTTTGAACTTTAGCCCATGAATTCACTGCCGGCTAATAACTATGATCTTACTTTTTTGACTTATATATTTGTTTTGAGAATTCCGCAGTTGGGTTTATTAGAGATGCTTCAATTTGGGTCGTCGAGAATAATTTTTTCTCTTTTCTTGAGATGGGTTTCTATTTTGTGAGTTATACTTGTCAAGGAATCGATCATGGACTCTGTCGAACTGAAATCCTGAGCTGGCTGATATAGTTTTCTTGCTTTCATTTTTGTTCTGCAGTTTCGCTTTTTTGCGTTCCAGTTATTTTGCTTCCTTTTTTTTCTTTTTTCCCTCTCCATAAAACAGTATACGCGTTGGAATCTTTATTATCCTTTTGGAAAATTGTATGGCGCTTACTTTCTTGGACCAGTTCAATGGAAGAATTGGGCCGTTTACTTTTACTTTTTGGTGCATCTTCTAATGTCCATCAACTTCTATGAGGTTTGTAGTGGGACCAAACATTTGACGAGTCACTTTGTGCATCCTATCCTTATTCATCCACATAATAATCCGAAGTCTTCATAGAAATCATTAGTAAAAAAAAAAAAACTATCTTTTCGTTAAAACTTATTCTTTTCCCATTAAATCATTTCAACTCATTGCCATTGAGCAGGTGAGGGATGTTCCAGACCTAAAGTTCGATTTCTAATATTTGTTTTTCTGATTTGTAGTGATTTTGGTGGCGTTGCTTTAATCCTCTGTACTATTTCCCATTGTTAACTGTATTCGTTGACTTGTTTGCATTTCATGGTTCAATTAGCTAGAAAGTCCCTTCCATTAGAATGTTTTGACATTAGAAGCTTCTTGAATCTGTATGGACTGTTTATTTTAGTTTTCTCAATGTTACGATACACGTTCATCTCCTTGCTTTAACTGTGTTTTGCTTCCCCATTTGTTTTAGATTTGAATTTTTTTTGGTTGTTTTATGTTTTAATTATGAAGCCGGTCTACAACAAATCTAAGGAATTTACTAATTGTAGGGCGTTTATAGGAATATAATTCCTTCTTATGTTCTTCAAGTTTCTCGGTTGCAATTGTAGGCTTCTGCTGAGTTCTTTTTGCATTGCAACTTCGCATTACAATAACATCTAACTAATAGCTAGTTGGGCTTTATGTGCTGGCTTCTTTCTCTAAGATGAGGTCTCATATTCATCTGCTGTTTGAGGCTATAACATGAATATTTTTTAGGAGTATATAGTTTAAAACATTTGACATAATAGCTTGAGCTTTATGTTTTGACTTGTTTTTTGAAGTCGAGGTTGCTGGTTTTAATCTTCTCCAGTTTTCTATCAGCCCAAATTTGATTTTCTTTTTCTTTTTCTTTTTATATAATAAAAAAAATCTAAAAACCACCAAGATTTAACATTTGCAGTGTTGTGAAGCACTCCCATATTTTCTTATGACCGTTGAGTTCATAGATATTATGTTGTTGATGGCATGGAAACTGTTGTTATATAAACACTTACCAAATTGTGTACCATACTTCTATTGTACAGAGCTCCATAGATGTTAGGATTTGTCGGTCATATATCTTGTCTAAAGTGGTATTAATCTTAACACTAGGAATTGACCAAAAGAAGAGCTTCACCTTCTTCATAATTCTGAACTTCCATTTTCTGTAGTTAAATTCATGGGGAGGGGGTTCTTAATTTCTCCATAGTCCATAAGGTGCATAAACGTAAATTTGCTAGTGAATTCATTCTCCTTAATTTTCCATGAAGATACCTAGCTGGAATTTGAGGGGTTCAGGGATGGGGGAAAAGAGCTACTGAGAAACAAATGATTTTGGATATTTGTCCTTATGTGGTCATGTTACGAGAATAAAAAATGCGAAAATAAAGGAGAGTGATAAAAACACTATGGAGCTCAAGAGAGGGAGTGCTGACTTGAATCTTAGGGTGATTGAGGAGTGCAACTAATCTTATGTGGTGAGAGGAAGGTGGAGGACTGTGATGTGTTGCAAGGGGCCTTCTTGTTGACTATTAAACTCATTGGGGATGGTGGGTGGGAAGAAGGGTGACGGGGTGGGGGGTTGGGTAACTAGGGGAAGATTTTAAGGTGGTGAGGAAATTTTCCGAGATCTCCAATTAAAAAAAGATGGGATTATGAAGGCAGTGAAACATCTTGGCAACTCAAAAGCATTGGTATTGGATGGATTCATGGTGAAGTTTTCAAAAGATGTTGGGAACATTTTAAAACAAGATATAATATGTTCTGATACTTTTGAGAAGGGCATTTGAATTCTTGCATTATGAAACTTTCATCTGCCTCATTCCAAAGAAACAGAAAACAGCAAAGTTGAGATTATTGCACCATAAGATTGACTACAATTGTGTATAAAATTGATGCAAATGTAAGAGATCGTTGATAGGCTTCAGCAAAAGGATGAGGCTCTCCTGGCCAAATGGGTCGGGAGTGGGAAATATATTTCAGAGAAAAATGAGGCTCTCCTGCCCAAATGGGTTTGGATGACTCCCAAGGAGAAGGGTGAGCTTTGCTGTCAAGTGGTTGGAAGAAAATTTGGATACAAGTCCTCCGGGTGGTAGACAAAGGCTATGAACAATGGACGTTGGTCCAGTTCATGGTGGCTAATTTCAAAAGTTAGTTGAAATGCTTTTAGCTTTGAGGCTAGGCTTTGGCACAAGAATCTCCTTCTGGGATGATCAGTGGATTGAGAATTAGACTTTGAGAAATTTGTTTTCAAGAAGTTTCAGGACGGTAGCAGAACAATAAGGATGTGCAAAAGATTGGGATGGAGATTGGAGAAGTAAATTCCTGGCAGATCACTTTGAGGAACTTGTCATATGGAGAAATTGAGGAATAATGGACTTTGTTTGGAAGGCTGGCAGATTTCAGACCAAGAACGAGAAGGTACCAAAGTATGGAACTTGGAAGCTTCTGGTAATTTCTCAATCAGATCACGTGTTAGAAATTAGCAGAAAGGAGGTAAGGCTTAGGTGAAAATTTTCTGTGGACTTAATGTTTGGAAGCTCTTAATGCAGCAGAGAACGTGCAGAAAAAGTGTCTGAACATTGCACTCTCTAAATTGACGTAAATACAGGGAGAGAGCCAGAATCATATTTTGTTCCACTGCCCTTGCCCTCCCTCTAGGGAAAAGGCTGTAATAAAAGAAGGCCTGGACGTTTTGACAGCCATTGAGATAAGGAATGCCTGAACAGGAACAATGGCAGGAACAATGGCAGGCTGTAATAAAATTGTTTCTTTATTCAAAATGGCAGACAGTTCCTATGCAATTATGCCTCAAGCTAGGGCAAGGAAACGGTCTCTAGTACCAAGTGTCTGCCATTGTTCCTGTTCAGGCATTCCTAAATAGAAACTGCTTTGGATTTTTTTCATCATCATCTCCATCTTCCGTAGCGTCTCAAATAAGGAAAGGTAGTAAATATGAATATTGGCTCAAACAGATTGTAAGGATTTCCCTCCCCCCATTTCTCAAACTTAGTCTTAACATTCTCAACCTAAGAAATCAGGAGGTAACCAATCATAGATAGTTATGAAGGAAAGATGACATCTTAATCTAAAGCCTGCTTCTCTTTTTTATTCCCTTGCTGCTAATCGAGCCAAAAAACAATAGAAATTCCTCTGGATTTTTTCTACTCTTGATCCTCAATACACATCCCACCCATCAGTAAGGTCTTAAATTTGATGATTTGAGGCTTGAGGTCTATTTCTTTTCTTTCTTTTTATTTCCCCTTTTCTTCTCTGCCTGAATCTGAACTACTTCAAAATGGATCTAATAGAAAAAAGTTCTAAAATTTAGCGTGATTTGTTAAAACTTTCTCCCAAGCCACGTACCTTCATTTTTTAACCTGAAGATAATACTATAAATCTTTGAATAAGTATTCCCATTTGAATTGTGTATGATTGGAATTGAGGAAGTTAATTTTCAGTATTGATTACCTGCATGAAATTTCTGAGGTCGAACATGCGGTTATGATGTTGGTTTATGTAATGGCAATTGGCAAGCTGTTTGGCTTTTGTTTTTAATAGTTTTAAATAAGCTAGTATGATTCTAAAAATTTCATATGGTCGAAAAGCTTCACTTACCAATTTTTGGAGTGACTCTCTAAATTCTCTTCTAAAAGTTTGGCTATTGAATATTCTTTAATTATTCTCCAACATTCAGCTTTTGGAGCGTATGGATGAAGTATATATATTATTTTTTTTTTAAAAAATTATGTATTAAATTGTGAGAACAGAATTTATTTATTGTGTCTTTAGCACCAAAAGAGTCGTGCTTATTTGCAGACTTCTACACGTTGATGATTTTAGTTCAACCATATTTTTCTTGAGGAAGATAAAAAGTTCAGAAGCAATTTTCTTTCTGCTCTGAGGTTGTTCTTTCTTTGATGACCATGGACTTCTTCTCCTGGCAGAATAGTTGATAACAAATGGGTCAAGCATTTGGTTGCCTTCAAGTCGACCAGTCAACTGTAGCCATCAGAGAAACATTTGGGAAGTTTGATGATGTACTTGAACCTGGTTGCCATTGTGTACCTTGGTGCTTTGGAAGCCAGTTAGCTGGTCATCTTTCTTTACGTGTCCAGCAGCTTGATGTTCGCTGTGAGACAAAGACAAAGGTTTGTTGCCTGCAAAAAATTAACAATTGATTGTCTTCTTTTCTAAGTAAATAAGAAGCCTCTTCAGCTGGAGGTCCCGAGTTTTAATGTTTGTTAGCTTACTATTTTTTATATTAATTTATTGTCTGTACTCTGCATTCTTTCAGGATAATGTTTTTGTCACTGTCGTTGCCTCAATCCAATATCGAGCCCTAGCAGAAAAGGCTTCAGATGCTTTTTATAAGCTTAGCAATACAAGAGAACAGATCCAAGCTTATGTCTTTGATGGTATACTTGTGTTTGAAGTTCTTTTGTTCAGCACTTTATTAGAAAATTTAATTTCAATATTGTTTTTTTACTGGACTGGTTTCCCTTTCCCGACCTACTATGTTATGTTTTGTTGGGTACAACTCCTAGGGAACTTACCTTTGGATTTATAGTGATATCTGCTGAATGGAATAAATAGTAATTCACTAAGGCAACAAATTCTAACTAGCATTAATAATGTTTGAAGTTTAACTGTTACACCAATCATCTTCAGTTTATTACTGTATCTTGCTTGTAAACTTTAGATTCCATTGATAGCCACACCGATCATCTTCAGTTTATTGCTTTATCTTTTCTTGGTAGAAAACAAAGGCCTGTTTGATAACCTTTCTTTTTCCAAAAAATATTTTGTCACTATATTTTGTTGGGCATTCTATTTTTAGTAGTTTTTGAAATTTTAGCTACACTTAAAAACAGAGACCATTCTTTTCAGAACACTTCTAGTTTTGTGAAATTGAGCTAAGATTTCAAAATTGTTACTAAACTATGAATGACAGGATTTAGTACCTCACCCCTCCTCATTTAAACTCTGTTGTTAAAATTTTTTGGTTTTTGGTGGATAAAACCGTGTTATTAGAGTTCATCTGGTCACAAATTTGTTGAGCAGTAACTAAACCAGATGTTGCATCGTTTTATTGTTTTAGTTATTAGGGCAAGTGTTCCAAAGTTGGACCTAGATTCAACTTTTGAACAGAAGAATGATATAGCAAAAGCTGTGGAAGATGAACTGGAGAAGGTGAATTCTTTTTTTTTCCTTTATGATTTAGAGTCAACCAACTTAAGAAGTAACATCTTTTTCTGTATGGTATTTTGGACATGTAGGCCATGTCAGCTTATGGGTATGAGATAGTTCAGACCCTGATTGTGGACATTGAACCGGATGAGCATGTAAAGAGAGCAATGAATGAAATAAATGCAGGTGAAAGTACCGACTGATCAATGATAAAAGCTTTTTCAGTTTTTGTTACTGCAAATCTTTGACATATGAATCATTTTATTGTATAAACAGCTGCAAGGCTGAGAGTTGCTGCGAACGAGAAAGCCGAAGCAGAGAAGATACTGCAGATTAAGAGGGCTGAAGGGGATGCTGAATCCAAGTATCTGGCAGGGCTCGGTATTGCACGGCAGCGCCAGGCCATTGTGGACGGTCTCAGAGACAGTGTGCTAGCATTTGCTGAAAATGTGCCTGGAACAACGTCTAAGGATGTCATGGACATGGTTCTTGTGACCCAGTACTTCGACACGATGAAGGAGATTGGAGCATCCTCAAAGTCGAACTCTGTTTTCATCCCACATGGACCTGGTGCAGTTAAAGACATCGCTTCGCAGATCAGAGATGGTCTTCTCCAAGCAAGTCGAACTCAGTAGATTGGTCGAGATTGAAGACACCTGTGAAGATCAAGACGGTATATAAATGACATAAAATATGCTATGTGAATAATAGGTTTGGTTGGTTTGTTTTTTTCTTTTGCAAATTTCTATTCTAGGTAGATGTGTGAAGCTTGCTATATCTCATCCTCCTCCCTCCACCAAACCCTCCCAGGTGCAGTGTTTCCTTTCATCTGTGTTTCTATTCAATGATCTTAAAGAGTTTTTATTATTTTTACCTTATGACTTACGAGTAGTTGGAAACCAGGAAATGTAGAAGTTGCATGATTTTGGGAGTGTTTAGGGGCTGTTGGTTTTTTGTTTCTTATTTTCGGTTTTTTCTTTCTTGTTTTTAATTCTTTTTAGACTAGAGACAGAACCATTTTTATTTCTTGTTTCACGGAAAAAAGAAATAGAAATAAAAATATGTTTAATAACTCTCTGTTGTTTCTTGTTTTTATTTTTAGTAGTATATAAATACAATTCATAATATAATTTACAATATATTTCTTAGTCTAAATTATTATAGTTAAACAAAGAATACATTTTCAAAATATTTTTAATTTAAAAAGAGAAAATTTTTTATAAAATATAAATAAATAAAGAGAGATAATATAAAAGAAAAAATATATTAAAACCTGCTTTGATTCACTGTATTATTAGATTTAAATAAATAATACATTTTCAAAATATTTTTAATTTCGAAAATATTTTATAAAACATAGAAAAAAGAATAAGAAGGGAGAAATTATAAAAAAATTTATATTTTTTCTTGTTTCTTGTTCTCCTTTCTATTTTTTTTAAAACTAGAGACACGGATACATTTGGTAATCATTTCTTTTTTTTTTTTTGGAAAAAAGGAACACCAAATTTCTATGTTGTTTTTTGGAAAAAAAGAAATAAAAATAAAATTATGTTTGATAATTATTTTATATTTCTTTTTATATTTTTAATTTATTTTTAGTAGTATAACAATTTGCATGATAGGGAATTAAACTTATGATATATTGATTGAGATATATACCAAAAAAAATATTGGTTTTTTTTAATTTTTAGTTAAAATATAATTTAGTAGATATAATATAAAAAAAATATAACATAGGTTAGAAAATATAATATACAAATTTAGACAATTTTTATTAGTTGATGTAATTTTATTATAAAATATTATTAGGAAAAAAAAAACTAGTAAATATCGTACGTTTCATTTCTGTACAGACTATAAATGTTTTTAATTTACTTATTAAAAGTAGAAGCAGTATCTTCCAACAGGTCGTTGTAGTATAGTGGTGAGTATTCCGGCCTGTCACGCGGGTGACCCGGGTTCGATCCCCGGCAACGGCGATTTTTATTTTCTCTTTTTAATTTAAATCTGACACGAGGAGAAGAGTAGAAATTGAAAATAAAATTTGGTTCTTTTTTAGTTATAAATATGTAAGTGCATGCGATTATTTATTTATTATTATTTTTTTCAAATTTCAATCTGACATGAGAAGAGTAGAAATTGAAAATAAAATTTGGTTCTGTTTTTGTTTTTTTTTTTTTGAGTATAAATATGTAAGTTCATGCGATTTTTTCCCTTTTTTTTTTTGAAAAAAATTAAATTTGACATGAGGAGAGATTGGAACTTGAAAATAAAAGCTGGTTATTTTATTTATGTTTTGAAAAAAAATTTGAAATCGGAATAAGAAACTTGATTTGTTCTCTAAAATTTTTGCCTAATTTAAAAAATGATAAATAGAAACGGTTACCAAATGTTTATGTATTTATGAAAATTAGATACCAGAAACCAGAAACAAGAAATAAGAAACGATAATATTTTGGTTGGTTTGGTAATATTTTCATTTCTTGTTTCTGTTTCCGCTTTTTTAATAAAGAAAAATAGAATTGTTGAGGACTGTTTCCCTTTTTTTAATAAAGAAAAAGAATTGAATGGTCATCAACATCCAAAGATTAAAAAATGATAGAATAAAATTTCTATTTATGTTGGAATAAGTTGAAAACGAGAACAAGAAACAAAAAACTTGTTTTTGTTGTTTCCAAAACTTCTATACAATTTTGAGAATACGTTTCTAAAAGATAAAAAACAAGAAACATAAATAGTTGTCAAATATTTAAAATTTTTTAATAAAATTAGAAACAAAAAATAAGAAACGGGAATGTAGTGTTACCGTATCATCCTTATTAATGAGTTTCTAAGGATCTTACAAGCTTTGGTTGTGTACAAGTCTCTCTAGAGTTTCCTTTCCTTTTATCGGTCTCTGAAGCAAAGCTTTGGGTTCGCCCTCCTCACTGCTGGCGAGTACGAGACTAAAAATTTACCAGAAAACCAAAGCTGGACATCAGGCTTGTTTTACACATGACTTTACACTTGTCATAACTCTTTTAATAGTTTAATTACTATATTTATAATTAGATTGAGAAATAGATATGTACTTTTAAGGCATGATTAAAGGAGTAAATAAATACATGCACTCACAAGTCACAATTGCAATAATCTCTCGCTTAATGTGTGAAAGAGCTCTCAACATTAATTAAGAAACCTTACATTAGTTATATTTAAAGTCTGAAAATACAGTCTAAATAGAAACTAACTAAAATAACATAATAATTAAAATTGATTAACAATATCAGCTGTTGGGATTATGGACCCAAACCAATGAGAAAATCTTTTTTCTATAAGGAAAATGTCAATTTGAATTTTTCTTTGTCCTATTTAGTTTGGGCTTTTTTATTTTCCCATTTTAGTTTTTGTCATACCATCTATTATAAATAGAGATAGATGAGCCATTTGATTGTTGTGCACAGATAGAGAGTCGTGAGAAATTCTCCAAGAAGAGAGAATTTGAGAGCTAAATACTTGTGTATCTGTTCGAGAGTTTGAAAAGCTTGTAGAGTGATTCGTGAGCGTTTTCTGTGTGAGGGAAAACTGAGAGAAATCATTGTAAGAGGCTTGCAAACTCTTGAGAGATTTTTACTGACATTTTAGTAGAACCTGCAACGATAGCAGAGAACTCGACGTAGCCCACATTGGGTGAACCAGTATAAATCCGACGTTTAATTTTCTTCTCCCTACTCTATTTATCGTTCTTGTTACTTAGAAGTTTTAGATTATTTTATCTAATCCTTTTAAGTGTAGGCTGCATTTTTTTTCACAACAATTGGTATCAGAGCAAGGTTGAAGAACGATGACTGGATAAGATAAATTGGTTATTTTTTATGGAACTGATTTTTCATACTGGAAGGATTAGATAGTAGATTATCTACATTCCAAGGAATTGGAATTGCCATTAAACAAGAAGCCGGATGACATGGAAGAAGCCAAATGAAAAAAGTTTGACAGGAAGGTGTTGGGTACGATTCGCCTAACATTAACAGAAAATGTGTAGAGCAGTGTAGTTAAGGAGACTACAACAATGGGGCTGATGGATGAAGGTACATCTGTGGCTGCCCATATAAATGAATCTGATACGTTGATTAACAAACTGGTTGCTGTGGATTTAACATTTACAGATGAATTAAATGCTATCTTGTTGTTGAGATCCTTACCTGACAGTTGGGAGTCTATGAAGGCAGCTATTTCAAATTCTTGTGGAAAAGAGAAATTGAAATTTGTAGATGTCAAAGATGCAGCTCTTGGAGAGGAGATTCGTAGAAAGGATTCTGGTATTGTGTCTACTTCTGGTACAATATTAAATGTGGACAGAGGAAGAAATAATAATAGAGACCACAGAAAACGTGGAAAGTCAAGAAACAACAGAAGCAAGTATAGAAACAGTAGACTAGAATGTTGGGATTGTGGTAAAACAGGATATCTGAGGAGGAACTGCAAAGCCCCAAAGAAAGTTAAGGGGAAAGAAGCTGGTGCAAATGTTGTTGCTGAAGAAATACATGATGCTCTAGTTCTTGCAGTTGAGGGTGCTCATGACACATGGGTGGTGGATTCAAGTGCATATTTTCACACTACAGGACAACGTGACATTCTTGAGAATTATGCTGCATTAAATCATGGAAAGATGTATCTTGCTGATGGAGAGCCTTTGGACATCATTGGGATTGGTGACGTTAATTTAAAAATGGCGAACGGTTCAGTCTGGAAGATTCGCAAGGTACATCACGTTCAGAATATGATGAAGAACCTGATTTCCGTGGGGCAGCTAGATAATGAAGGATGTGAAGTATCCTTCGATCAAGGAAACTGGAAAGTTACAAAAGGTTCGATGGTGACCGCTCGAGGAAGAAAGTTAGGAATTTTGTATCTAAATGACAACAACAAAGATATGATAGCTGTTGTAGATCATTCGAGTCAGACCCAATTATGGCACAGTAGGCTGGGACATATGAGTGAAAAAGGTATGAAAATTCTTCACTCTTCAGGGAAGCTAGAAGGACTTAAAGGCAGTGGAACACAAGTTATGCGAAGGATGCATATTTGGGAAACAGAGTCGTGTCAGTTTCTCAAAGACAGGTTCAACGCCAAAGTCTACAAAATTGGAGTTGGTTCACATCGATGTGTGGGGGTCTTCTGAAGTCTCTTCCATTGGAGGTTCCAGATACTATGTAACTTTCATAGACGACTTAAGCAAGAAGGTATGAACTTATTTTATTAAACATAAGTCTGATGTGTTTTCTGTTTTCAAAACATGGAAGGCTATAGTAGAGAATGAGATAGGCCTGAAAATCAAAAGCTTGAGGTCAGATAATGGTAGTGAGTATGTTAGTAGGGAATTCAAGAAATATTGTGAAGACAGTGGAATTGTGATGGTAAAGACTCTTCCAGGGACACCACAGCAGAGCGGTGTGGTAGAGAGAATGAACAGGACGCTGAATAAGCGTGCTAGGAGCATGAAAATACATGCAGAATTGCCTAAGATGTTTTGGGCAGAGACAATCAAATGTGCGACCTATCTGATCAATAGGAGCCCGACCACATCACTAGACTTCAAATTGCCTGAAGAAGTCTTGACTGGTAAACCGGTAAACCGGTAAACCTTTCCCATCTAAAGGTTTTTGGCTGTGTATCTTACCTTCACATTGATGCTACAGACAGGAGTAAATTGGATGCCAAATCCAAGAAATGTTTCTTTATTGGGTATGGTGGAGCTGAGATAGGTTACAAATTTTGGGATGACCAAAACAAGAAGATTATAAGAAGCAAGAACGTGATCTTCAATTAGAAAGTCTTATACAAAGACAGAAATAAAGTTTATTCAGGAAAGACAGAGTTAGATGGAAGCATAGAGAATACTCAGTATATAAGTCCTCATGAGGTTGAGACTAAAACAATAGAAATTGAAGATC